GGTTACTTACATTACTACATAAAACAGTACAATCATAGTCTTGAAGGTAATAGGATCAGAAAGTTCTTCAGATAATTGTGAAATGATTGTCCTGTGTCCCAGTTTTTCTGATCTGAATCTGTGAAACAATGAATTAATATTCATTCTCACATGTTGATAATGTCAAAGTTTCAGAAGATATTTCTCTTTTTAAAGTTATCTCGCTAACTTGCTAATCCTGCTTTGTGAAACGCGCCCCTTGAGGAGAGGCTGCCCAGGGTGATGAACAACAAAAGCTTGAACAGCTTTTCAACTCGCAGCCAGAGCTTTGCTTCACATCACTGCCTCAGAGACTTATGGTATAGTTAGCGCACGGCGTGCCTAAAAATAGGTCGACTAGACAGGTGCTCTCTTGTGGCAACGCGTCTCCTTTGCCTGCCTGTCTCTTCTCACTTTTATTTGTCTCTCTTCACTCAGTTGCTGAGGAACGGAAGCCTGAAAGAGGCTGGCAGGAGGAAGCAAGCAAGAGATAGTTTCCATCTCCCTCTCTGCATCCTTCCCATCCCTGAAGCTCGGTGTGCTTCTCTCCGCACTGCAGCAGCAACCAGCAAGGCAACCTCCTCCTCTTCAGCACTATGTGAACATGTAAAATAAGAGAAATATGCAGTGTTTGTTGTATCTGTGTATATTGCATTGCATTTCCTGAAGACTAGTGCTGTAATACCTGTGTGATTGCCCTCGCACTCCACTGGAATTCTATATACAAGAGTCAAGGCAAAAGATACCTTTCGGTGGCAGGTAGATGTGCATGCACAAACACTAATCGTAACAGTTTGTTTATAAAGGCCTTATCTGTATGCACAGATTTGTAATCTGATCATTCCAGGACATTTTGTCTCCATAACTTTAAGATCTTACTTTGTTCTTATCATGTTGTGTACTTGCCTGTGTCTGACCTTTTTATTTTATGAATAAATTAATTCTAATACTAACAAAGAACTCTCTTGATGATGAAATTAATGAAGTTACGTCACGCCAGGGGGCTCAAACTGCTTTAAAGATGTGTTTTCATGCAGAAGTTTGGATGTACGGTATAATATCCTCAGAGGAAAATGTACGTAGGTCTCTGTTTACAACAGTCCCTATAGGGAAAAACAACCTAGCAGTTGTTTTCATTATCAAGTGTTCCCCTCATAATTATAGCATGTTGGAATGATAAGGAGCTACCTTATAATTATGATACAGCATAATTATCTCATAATTATGAGAAATTTGGCATCCCATAATGAGCTGAATCTGCTCAGACATTAGCGGTTAACCTCCACAGCATCTGTGTTGGGCAATCTCAACAAGAAAACATAGTCAGCCATTTACCAAATAACTACTGCAGCAAGTGTGTGGGCTGCAGAGAAAGTTAAACCCATTGGATGTAGACTTCTCGATGCACTCCTTCTGGACTGTGGAACTGGGAATTCTGTTTCCACACGCGGGGTCTTCTCTTTCTTTGTATACAAGTGAAATTAAATAAGAATGAAGCTGTAACCATTGCTTTCTTTTCTATTTGTAATAATGAAGAATAATGAATGTTCACCTCTTTGTTAACATATTGCAAGTTATTGCAATAAAACAATAAAAGCTCTAAAAAAAAATCTTATATACCATAATTCTACATTCTGCTTTTTCATTATTAATCATATGTCCTATTAAACTGAACTTCTGTATATTACAAATTAACAGACAATTCTTAAATAATATTCCATATTCACATTTAATTGTATGCCTGACTTTTCTTTAGGCAAAGGCTGACCTTTCATGTTTTCTTATTGGCAACAATTTCCATGAAAAGACCAAAACCAGCAATATATGAATATAAAGTTTCATTGGGTACAAAGGCTCAGTAATTTCCTAAAGCAGTCAGACACTGTAGTTTTAAGCAAACGTTACCTTGGTTAGAGTAAATACTCAAGTCCTTGAGTCAGTCTCGACAAAATCAAAGGACTTTGACTTGGACTTTAACACCAATGACAATTAAAACCTTCCCCCAAACCCCAAAATTAAAAAGTGTGCCACAAATGATTTAATTTCCCTTTATTTTACTAAATCAGCACCATTCATTCCAGCAAGTCAACACTTAATTCCCAAGATCCTCTTTGTTTAAAATTGATCCAATATCAACCAGTGAGGTTGCAGGAGAGAACCATAAAGAACATTGTTACTGAGCACAAGTGAAAAAAAACTATGCCAAACTTACTTGTGACTTGCAAACCAATGATTTGGTCCCCCCTTTGGGAAAAGTGCATGCATCTGTTGAGGACTATTTCCCGCAGCAGGACGGTGTGAGATCGACTGAGAATAAACTACAGTGTGTGTGTGTGTGTGTGCTCATAGTGATGAAGGAACTTGTCCTTTGAGTGCAACATGTGGCTTAGTGATGTGTTTTTAATTGTTTTTGGAAAACAATGAAGCTCTATGACACGCAGGAATAAAATATATCACTGTCGGTTTTGGTCTTTTCATGAGAACTGTTGACAATAAGAAAATGTTCTTTAAACGCCTCATTTTAAAATGAAAGTTCAGATTGTTTATGTACAATATATGTAATACAGCTATAGCACTAACTGTGTATAGGGA